ACATCGGTTACACATCCACTGTTTTACATATTGCTATACTAGTGTCTGTTGTAGATTATTCTTGAGGCTTGCTTCCTATCATCCCAGAACTTCCCTTCACCTTTCTTCTGTGTTGATGTCCTATTTCCTGATTCTCATTCCTTCTCATGTTGCACAAAAGCTAAATATTTTGAGACCATGTTAGGGCTCAAAAAGTCTTTATTCCTTTCTCACTCTTTTTTATTTTTTATTTTATTTTCTTTTTAGTTGTTGATGAACCTTTATTTTTTTATCTTTTTTATATGCAGTGCTGAGAATCAAACCCAGTGCCTCACACATGCAAGGCAAGTGCTCTACCATTGAGCTACAACCCCAGCCCCTCCTTTCTCACTCTTGAGACACAGTTTTGTTAAAAATAGAATTTAAAAGTTGATTTTTTTTTCCATTGAAACTTTGAAATCGTCACTGTTATTCCAATTTCAACTGTTACAGTTAAGAATGTTAATCCCATTTGGTTTCTCTATCTTTAGTAAGTGATCATTTTTTTCCTTCTCAAATCTTCTAGAATTTTATCTTTGCTTTGCTGAAATGATAACAATGAGCTTGGTGAGCCATTTTTATTCAACCTTTCAACTTAATAACCCACATCCTTCAATGATATGCTCTGATATTATTCTTTGATGATTTTCCTAGAAACCACAGTATTCATATTAAACATAAAAATGTTTAAAGATAATCAATACTGTTACCTAAGAGGTGGATTTATCACAAAGGTAGTAAAACTTAAATTTCAAGGACCCTCACTTGCTCAGTCTCCTTCAAGCCTGGCAAAGTCCTAGCAATGTGTTCACTTTTCCATAGTTTTATAAAATTTGCAAATAAGACATTTTAATTACAGTTGATAAATTCCCTGTCTCTTCCTCCGATTTACACTCCTCATATTTTGCCTTAGAAAACTGAAATGGCTTTGGGCATTTTGGGGATCTGGCTAAGGAAAACTTGAGTTAAGAATACATCTAGGTTAAACATAGGGGGACATGTTTACAAGGTTTTCTTGAATTACTGATGTTAATAAGTGGCATGACTAGAATTTTCAGTCAGCTTGCCTGATCTTAACATCTCATTATACAGTCAGCCTTCCTTCAGCAGTGATTTCCTTTCTTGGCAGACAAAGGAAGGAATAAGAAGAAGAGAAAAGGAGGCAATATATCTTTATATTTTTTAATATCTGAACCATATTACTGAATTTACTTTTCAAAAAATAATTTTTAAAGGATTGAAAACTCTAAAACCTGCCTGAGAGTTATATAGTTGATATAAGATTTCAGTGGCATCCAACATCTAACATGGTGTTAATAAAGACTTACACTGACTAAAATTTGCTTGTCCATGTTCCAGAAAGATATAGAGCTGAAGAAGAAGTTGTGGGCAGCCTTCCAGGTAGGTCTCAAATAGCCTGAGCATGCTCAAATCAGTCACTCTATCTATAACTTCTTTATGTTGATCAATTTGCTCTTCGGTGAAGCTATTCGTTTTGCTACTACATTTGAAAGCCACGTGGTAACCCTTTTTTAAGGCAAACCAATACCTGTAAAGTAAACATGAACATTTAACTTCAGTCATACATTTTTATAAATTTAAATTTATTTTAAATTAAATATAAAAATATGTATTTAAGGAGTATCATGAGTATTTCAATAAAAATATACCACTGTATAATGTTTAAATCAGGTTAAACATATCATCTCCTCAAATCCTTATCATTTCTTTATGATGAAAACATTCAAAACTCTTTCTTTTAGCTTTTTGAAATATAAAGTACATTATTGTTATCTATAGTCCTTCTATCATGCAATAGCACACAAGAGCTTCTTACTCCTCCCTAAATATTCACCAGGTTGTTCAGACAAAAATGTGGGACTTCCTCAGATCCTATAAAAATTCAGGTCTCTATTCAATTATCACTTCTACTTAGAATTCTCAGATCACACATTCTATATCTTTATTATTTTTCTTTGTAATACCACAACACGGTATTTATTTTGGTTATCTTTACTTTCTCAGAAAATGTAATCTACATGAAAAGAGAGAATTTGTTTTGTGCATTGATACAAACTAAATAACTAGAACAATACCTGGCACGTGGCAGGTGCTCAAAAACATTTACTGAATGAATAAATGAAAGCTCATCACACTTTTTCCATAAAAAGACAGTAGAAAATAGCCAAAGCAAAACTGAAAAAAAGAACAAAGCTGGAGGCATCACAATACCATTTTTCAGGACACAAGAGTCATATTAATAAAACCAACATGATAATTGTCATGAAGACAGAAACACTGACCAATGAAGCAAAAGAAAGAACTGATCAGTCAACTGATCTCTTGGCAAAAATACACATGAAGAAAAGGCATTCTCTTCAATAAATGGTGCTTAGAAAATTGGATATCCATGTACAGGAGACCCCTATCTCTCTACCTATACAAAACCCAACTCCAAATAGATCAAAACCCTAATGTAAGAGCTCAAATTTTGAAACTACTGAGGAAAACATAAAATGCTTCAAGACATCAGCACAGTCAACAGTTTTCTGGATAAGCTCCAAAAGCACATGAAGCAAAAAGAATTGGCAAATGGGATTGCATCCAATTAAAAAGCTTCTACACAGCAAATAAAGCAATCAACAGAGTAGCAACTATCTACAGAAAGGGAGAAAATCTTTACTTGCTATTCATTTGACAAAGGATTAATAGAATATTATAAAGAACTAAAAAAATAATAACAAAATGTACTCAAATCAAACAATGGACAAATAATTTGAACAGAATCTCAAAATAAAAAATACAATTTTGACAATAAATATATAAAAAGTGCTCATATCTTTAGCCATCAGGGAAATGTAAATTGAAACTACAATAAGATATATTCTCATTCCATTGAGAATGACCGTTAACAAACAAACAAACAAATGCTAGCAAGGATGTGGAAAAATAAAAGGCCATCTACACTATTGGAGATTATATAAATTATAATAACCACTGTGGAAAACTGTATGGAAGTTCCTCAAAAAACTAAAAAACAGAACTACCGTATGTTTATTGCTGCATTATTCATGATAACCAAGATATGGGATCAGTCTACATGACCATAAATAGTTGCACAGATAAAGAAAACATGGTATATATATTATATATATA